AGATACTGAAAGTGAAAAAGAAAGTGGAAAAAAAGATTCCAAAAAAGATTCAAAGAAACTCAAGGGAAAAGATACAGATACTGAAAGTGAAAAAGGAAGTGGTAAAAAGGATGCCAAGAAAGATTCAAAAAAGGTCAAGGGAAAAGATACAGATACTGACAGTGAAAAAGGAGATGTACAAAAAGATTCCAAGAAAGAAAAGAAAGATTCAAAGAAAGTCAAGAGTACAAGTTCAGATACTGAAAGTGTAAAAGGAGATGTGAAGATAGATGCCAAGAAAGATAAGAAAGATTTAAAGAAGGGCAAAGGTACAAGTACAGATACTGAAAGTGAAAAAGGAGATAGAAAAGAGGTTAGCAAAAAAGACAAGAAAGATTCAAAGAAAAGCAAGGATTTAGTTATCAAAACTGACAAAGGAGAAGCAAAGAAAGATTCAGCCACATCATCTGAAACTGGTAAAGAAGATGCAAAGAAGGATAAGGGTGGAAAAAAGAATAAAAAAGATTCAAAGAAGCAAGATGAGAAAGATAAGAAATCAAAGGAGGAGTCAAAGAAAGAATCAAAGAAGGAGTCAAAGAAAAGTACCAAAAAAGATAAGAAAAATGAAAAGAAGCCCAGTGAGGCAGACATTGCAGCAAAGGTTGGTTCCAAGAAAGAGTCCAAGAAAGCTTCCCAAAAAGATGTTAAAAAAGATGCTAAGGAAGATACCAAGAAAGAAATTGACACCGAATCTGCTGAATCAAAGAAGAGTTCAGAGAAGGATGCAAAGAAGAGTGACAAAAAGGGTGATGCTAAGGATGAAAAAAAGAGGGCTGCTAAGAATATGAAGAAGGGCAAATAGACCTTTGATAATAATTTAAATGGATGAAGTAACTCAAAGGCATATTTAATGAAACAGGTTTAGTAGTGTGAAACTGAATCTATGGGTGAAAATGGGGAATCAAAGAATTAAACAAATCATTTTTAAAAGAAGAATGCAAAGGACCGCTAAAAAGATTCATATAAACATAAGAAAAAATGTTAAGAAAAAAACAAGAAATGAGAACTTGTTTAATACTTACGTAAAGTTTAAGGATATGAAGGAGTCAATGGAAGATACAAAGACACATAAATGCAAAGAAGAATATCAATAAAGAATTTGAAGATAAAGGCAATGAACATGTTGATACAAAAACTTTTTTGAATGTTTTTAAAGAATCCAAGGAGGCAATATAAAACCATAGATTCAAAATTCCAAAGCTCCCTCCATAGATTTAAATAAGTCATGAAAAGAAGTCAATTAATTACCCAAATTTCTACTTTTAAGTAAATACCAGTTAAAGGCAGAATGACTCAAAGAGAGAAAGAGGAAGAAGAAGAAGAAGGAAAAAAAAAGCAAATGACATCATTACCTCCTCGTGAGCCTATGCCACCAACTTCCAAGTTTTAACAACTGCAACAATGTTGATGGATGCTGTACATTCCACCTCCAAGACAAGATAGAAACATCTGGTAAGTTAATTTAGTTTTATTTTAAGTCAAATTTGGATAAAAAATAATTAAACTAAGTTAAGATTTGAATTGGCAATTATCTTCCTTATACTGTTTTTTTAATTTGCTGATTAGGTTTTAATTATTATCAAGTTTGGGATTTCTTATAGAAAAATATGTATACAACTTGGTGAGAACTCTAAATATGTGCGGCTTTAGAAAGCGCCCATGTGGTCTGCTGGTCAGAAAGAGACCAAAAGTATACAAGACTATGGTCCTCAGCCACCCTTCAGGTCTGGGATGAAACTTACATTCATGGCCCAATTTTCTACCAACCTGCAACTAAGTATATGGGTTGTCAGAGCTACTGCTATGGGTAAGGAAGGGAGGGCAACAGCTAGTAAGGTATGTTCTCCATGAAATGGTCAACAACTCAAGATCAAAAGGGCAACATTTATCTAAGGACAAAGTTCAGAAAGGTTAGGAAAGAGGGTGGAATGGACATAAGAACCACAGGGAAAAAGTAGGACAAATGTTTATACATGGAGGGGATTGCAACCATTGAAATGAAACAAAGTGTATGATTAGCTGAATGTAAAGCTGATGATCTGCTCTGTAAACATTCACTCAAGTTTCAAAAAAAGAAGAAAAAAAATGTCCTTGATGAAATTTAAGTCAAGTAGAATTACTTGATGTGTGAGAGAGGAACAATTTTAACATTATTTACTGAAAGTTGTTTTCAATAGAAAATAGGGGTCAATATCTCTATTTAGAGAAGGATGAAAATCACAACTTAAAATGATCAGGAACAAATTTAAATGAAGCTTATGAAGGGGCTTCCTACTAAGAAAACGTATCAGTTTAACAGAGTAAAAAAAACCCCTAAACAATGTAATGTAAAACTGATGATCTTTGTAAACATTCACTCAAATTAAAAAAAAAAAAAATAGCCTTGAGGAAAACTCAAGTGAAGTAGTGAGAAAAAAAGAGAGAAATAAAACTAATTATATTTTTTAATAATTATATTAAACTCTCTTGTGAGCCAAAGGTCCTATTGATATGAGGACAAATTAAAAGCAATATGCTGCATAACAAAATTATTCCTTGCACTGGCAATTCATCGTCTACTGTTGCAATGCATCTTCTTTCAGATAAACACAACTGTTGTTGTTGTTGTTAGGTGCCATCGAGTCGGTACTGACTCATAGCAACCGTATGCACAAAAGAACGAAATGCTGCCTGATCCTGGCCAACCTCACAATTGTTGCCACACTTGAGCCCATTGATGTGGCCATTTTGCCAATCCATCTCGCTGGGGATCTTCCTTTTTATCTCTGACCCTCCACCTTACCAAACATTACATCCTTCTCCAGCAACTGGTCCTCCTGACAACATGTCCAAAGTATGAGAGATGA